ACCTGCTAATGGCCGAGGTTCAAGAGTTTCTCTACGACGAGACGGTGATATGGTCTTGACAGATGTTGATGGCTCCATCATATGGCAGACTAACACCCCCTCCACTGATGTTGGAAGAGCAGAGCTTCTGGACACTGGTAACCTTGTTCTTAAAGGCCGTAATGGTACGAATCTATGGCAAAGCTTTGATTTTCCTACCGATACACTTCTTCCAAACCAGTTATTTACAAAGAGGACAAAGCTGGTTGCTAGATTGCATAGCGGGTCTTATGCCTCTGGATATTTTAGCTTCTTTTTTGATAATGATAATGTGCTGAGGTTGATATATGATGGTCCTGATATTTCAAGCATATACTGGCCTCGTCCTGATTTTAATCCGTTCGGAAATGGTAGAACAAATTATAATAGCAGCAGAACTGCGGTTTTTGATGAAATGGGCCAATTTATATCTAGTGATCAGCTCCAGTTCAGTGCTCCTGACACGGGTTTATTAAGGATCAAAAGGAGGCTAACAATGGACCATGATGGGAATCTCAGGCTTTATAGCCTGAACAATGAAACTGGATTGTGGGTGATATCATGGCAAGCTCTTTCTCAGCTTTGTAATGTTCATGGAATTTGTGGGATAAACTCGATTTGTGTAAATACACCAGACCCCAAGTGTTCATGCCCACCTGGCTATGAGATCACTGAGCCTGGTAATTGGAATAAAGGCTGCAAGCCTATGTTCAACAGCACTCTTTCACAGTCTCAGCAAGTGAAGTTTGTGCTGTTGCCCCATGTAGATTACTGGGGATTTGATCTTAATTACAGTGCATCCACTACATTTGACTCCTGCATGAAGCTCTGCTTGGGGGATTATCGGTGTAAAGCATTTAGCTATAGGCTAGATGGGGGACAACTTTGCTACACAAAAGGCGTGCTTTTCAACGGTTACCAGTCTCCAAGTTTTCCAGGCAATATATATCTGAGATTGCCAGTGAGTTTTGAGACATCTCAACTAGGTATTCTTAATGGCACTGACCTCATTTGCCAGTCTGCAGAATCAGAAACAACTATCGGTTCTCTTTCTATGTATAACTTCAACAATAAGAGGACCAGATGGGTTTATTTCTACTCATTTGCTTCTGCCATTTGATTTATTGAAATTCTCTTCGTAGTTTCGGGTTGGTGGTTTCTTTTCAGAAAGCGTGGTTTGCCAAATTTGGCGGAAGACGGATATCATGTGGTATTAAGTCCATTTAGGACGTTTACTTACACTGAGCTCAAGAAGGCGACGAACAACTTCAAGGAAGAGCTGGGAAGGGGAGGTTCTGGAGCCGTATATAAGGGCATTTTGACAGATGAAAGGGTTGTAGCTGTGAAGAGACTGGAAAACATGTACCAAGGGGAAGATGTATTTTGGGCAGAAGTGAGCACAATTGGAAAAATCAATCACATGAACCTGGTGAGAATGTGGGGATTCTGTTCAGAGGGCAAACACAGACTCCTAGTCTATGAGTACATGGAATATCAATCACTGGACAAGCATCTATTCTCTCCAACGTTTCTTGAATGGAAAGACAGGTTTAAAGCGGCCTTAGGGATAGCTAAGGGTTTGGCTTATCTTCATCACGAGTGTTTAGAATGGGTTATACATTGTGATGTGAAGCCAGGAAATATTCTTTTGGACAGTGAATTTGAACCCAAGATTGCAGATTTTGGGCTTGCCAAGTTGTCTCAGAGGGGTGGCAATAGCTCTGACTTCTCTCAGATTCGAGGAACCAAGGGTTACATGGCTCCAGAGTGGGCTACAAATCTTCCTATCACTGCAAAAGTTGATGTTTATAGTTATGGAGTTGTGGTTCTAGAGATAGTGAAAGGAATCCCACTCTCAAATTGGGTCATAGAGGGCAGGGAAGAGCATGATGAATCAGATCTAACAAGGTTTGTCAGGGTGGGGAAAAGGAAAATTCAGTGCGGAGAGACCTCTTGGATAGAAGAAATAGTGGATCCAAGATTGAATGGTCAGTTTAGCAGGAGCCAAGCAAAGACGATTGTTGAACTTGGCATGTCTTGTGTAGAGGAAGATAGAAACAAGAGACCAACATTCATGTGATTTTTTGCTTCTGTCATCGAATAACATTCATGTCGTCAAAATTCTACCGTGCCATTGTCCCTACAGCATCACACTTGACATGATTTAGTTTGAAAATGTCAACCTCAAATTGCTATGATTTTCCGTTAAATTTGAAAATGTCTCAACCGGAAATAAACAAAATGGTTTAGTACTCACTGACGGAGTTCGGGCTGGTGCTTGCTTGAGGCAACCGTGGCTTTAGCTCTGCATCGAAGCTAAAAGAAAGAAAAGGAGGAAAAAACACAGCGCAGCTGCGGCTACCATGGTAAAGGAAAATATTAGTATATTTCTCACTTCCCACAAGATGAGTGAACAAACAAAATGATATTTATCCTCTTGCCACAGCAACCTCTAATTCCACATTGGTGCAGCAAAGAATTAAACAAACAGTTCCAGTGGCCAAAATTATATTGTAAAGGTTTCTCCAATGTAAAGGACGCAATTACAAACATTCAGGGGACAACGTTATCTGCAATGTTCTGATGAACTCTGACTCAACTTTTTGTCATCCACAGCATCAGCAAGCGTATCTGAAGATTCATTTTTTGGCTTCCCTGAATCATAAGAGTAAAAAGCATTTTAATTTTTCTATCTACATAAAAATATCACTCAATGAAGCAGATGAATTTGCGGGCATGAAAATCAACAGATTCGGTGTCATAAGGCTCAGCACAAAGTTCTGGCTCAGTTCCAGATTTGAAATGTGTACACACCAGGGTATACATTACTTATCACAGATACAAATAGACCATATGATCAGGCTCATTTCTAGGAACATATGGAAGACATATATATATATATATATATATATATATGTATGTTCGGCAACTTCTGAATATTGTGTCTTTAATAGCGCTTGGAACTTAATGTGGGGCACAAGTTTTTTTTAATAATATCATCAAAATCATCTAGCTTTGGAATGAGAAGATCAAACGCCACCAAAAAAAAAAAAGACAATCAAAATATCAAATGCTTCTCAGGTTCAATTAGAGAATGGGTTTTCCACAGTATTTGTAAGTGACAATAAAGATTAGTTAGTTTTATCCAGAAAAGCACGAGAAAGCAAACTGTGGATTCCAGAATAACACATCTCTAATTAGGATTTGGAGGATGTTACATGATACCAAATGACTTGTATACATCTTATCATGGCATGTCTTCTCTTATTGGACCTGTTTTAGTATTTTACATGTAATAATCCAATAAATGTTTTGAAAGTAAATAAATAATATATTTGCATTTGAACGACCATGGTACCCAGTGACCTACCCGTTACTGAACTAGTGAACCTTAGGCCCTTGGCTAGGTAAAGGTTGAGCTGGGTTTGATAATCCAACTCACCCAAAGGAACAAAACAGGCAAAACCATATTTTCAGGCCTTGAAATGTCAAACTCAATAGTCTAGTTTAGTCCCCATACATTAATTTATGATCTTCAATTCAGTCCTCAAACTTGCAAAACTTGCAATCACAACAACATTTGAGGGATGGTCAATTGCAAAGATCTTGTACATATTACAAACCATCAGTGTATTCAATTTTCCATGATTGGAAGTGAGTTTGGAGGTTTGAAGACTGAATTGAAATATGTGCGTGCGCTTTGTGTATATAGAAGCTAAATGATGTTATTCGCTCCAGCACCAGATGGCAAAGACATCAGTGATCATATACAATCTAATTGAAAAACACAAAGACAATCACAGGCTAAAGAAATAATGTTTTCAGAACATTAATTTCAACAATTTACTTTGTTTTTGCCTTTTAGTTAGTCATTTAACATATTTACAGCACATAATTTTGTTGCGATCAGAAAGTGACACTAATATAGAAAGTGACTTAAAAGTGCCTTACCTGATTTCTTATTTTTCTTGGATGAAGCATTTCTAAGCTTCTTGTTCCGCCCTTTCCCTGCCTCAACAAAGATATGATTGTACTTCTCTAATACCCTTTCCTTTTCTTCAAGTAAGCCTAGCATCTCATATGCATCTGCCACTTTTTGCACTATGGATTTTTCTGGAGGTTGACGATCAAAAGCTTCCAGCCCTTTGAAAAGCTTTGCATCCAATTACAACAACAAAGCCAGTTCAAACAATTTATGAAAAAAGAAAAATGCTAATCTAAGATCAACCTATAACCAACTAAAAAAAGACAACACATGACAAATCTAAGGAATGCATAAATACAGTGATTTAATAGCACTGAATGGCAAGACAGATATTCCTTTCTCAAAGATAAACAACAACATGAGATGAATTTTGTAGCATTTTTTCTCCTCCTTCCACATACTTTTTAACCAAGGATAAAATCTTCCACATCCTCCAATTCATTAAATGTTAATGTCCAACAAAGTCTGTTCACTTTAAGCTACAAATCAGTAAAGTTTTGCTATATTCTTGGGATAGAATAGAACAAATATCACACTCTACAATGATGGAGCTTTTCAGTGACTTCAAAACAACATCTTAAGTTTTGTTCTATTTCCTTCCTTAAGTTTAGTTGTACGTACAAGGAGTTGATAAGTAAAAGCATAATGGTTTTGTGTATGAGCAACTCTCTACTGTTTTCATTCATGTTCCAATGCAGCTACCTCTACAATGATGGACCTTTGCAGTGTCCTCTACTGGAAAATAATGTGTACAGAGAATATTCAAATTGTTTTTCTAGCATTAGATTATGAATTTATTGAAAACCACAATTTCCTACAGAACAATGGCAAAAGTATGGTATGCAGATTGTGAGTGATAATTGCCCAGTAAACATATTAAACTCATTACGCACATCTGATTTTCCATGTCAAGAAGCATGTTGCATGCTGCAAACCAAACCTTTATGAGATTCTCTAGCATGTTGTTTCTGTAGTATATAGATATCATGCGATTACATAGCTGCCATGGCACGGAATGAAGATCTCTACCAATTTTCTTCAACCAAAACTCATGTGCTTCTTTTGCTCTGTGGTCCATATCTAATGCTCGTATAAACTGCGAATAAGTTCCCATTGTAGTTCCCTGCCCCTTGCTGAGCATCCATTTAATAACCTTTAGAGATTAATAAAATATGAACAGATCAAATAATGCATAATGCCAAACAATAACATTAATAAGTAGCATAACAAAGAATATTAAAACATAGTAGCATAACAAAGAATATTTTAACAAGAACATAGAAACATCACTCATGAACATGTTGAAAGCCAAGTTGACAAAATTACTTTACACTTTGATGTTGTCAAGCTAAAAAAATATAAGGCAGGTAGTCACTATAGTTCATGGGTTCATGGGTAGCTAAGGCGGTTCTTGGTAGTGTGCATAAGACTAAAATTACCAACATAAAAAAGAAAATAAACCAAACTGTATCCAACATTCTCTAATGACACTAAATGATAACTACTCACTAAGAGCTGAAATCAGACTTTTGCAAAACTATATTAGGAGTTTCCCACAACACATTCACAAATATCTTTAGAAAAGAAAACATAAAGCAGCTTATTAATTAGCAAAAAACCAACTGCAGCTATCCCCATGCACCAATGCAAGGAAGGTCTCCAATATCTCCTGATTATACTTCCATGATTATACTTCCAATTCTTTGGCCTCTTCCACTTCTCAATATGTTTCTTCATAAATCTTCTACATTATCCTTGCAGACCCCAAGTGTTTTTGTGTCACCTAAGAAATACATCCATAGAGCCAAGGTGGCCCAATGTAAAGACCTTTATCTAAGCTGTAGTACTCAAAGGAAAAAAAATACTCGTAAATCCAGGTTAATCTCTTAAACCCACAATCTAATAAGTTCTAGACCCGGGTTCAACCAGGACGTTTAACACCCAACCAATTAAATATTAAAAGGTAAAATCATAAAAAAAAATCAATTTAAAAAAAAAAATGCAAGGTCAGAAAATAGCAATAAAAAAAATAAGAATCAAATTTAATAGGAAAAAAAAAACTCAAGGAGAATGAAATTGTAAAACAAAACAAATTTTAAAAACCATCTTAAGCAAAACAAATAGAAACCAAATATTACATGAAAAAATCTATGGGGGATGAAAATGAAAAAAAAAATCCAATTTCATAAATTATTCAAAATAAAACAAATATTAATAATAAAAAAAATAGACCATCTTAAGGGGAAAAAAAGTGAAAGGCTTTTCTGAAAATTTGGAAGTCCATCACAAAAATTGAGGAGAGGGAAAAGGAAACAAAAAAGAGTCCATGCGTGCCAAATTGGAGACAATTAGACTACACGCACCACCTAGGCATGGAGGGGCCGCTGAGACGCTTCGGTTACCACCTCAAAACTAAACCTTCAGCCACTAGACAGCACCACACACATTGTCAAAACCCTGTAGTCATTGTTCACACACATCCAACTTTTTTTTTTATAATTTCCTTATTTAGCAAATGGCCCAATGACTCCTAATGAAACCCAAGAATAATAAAATAACCAAATTTAAAAGACTAAAGTACCCCTAAACTAAAGGGCAAATTGTTTTAATTTGAAGGGAAAGGAAGTAATTTAATTATGTTTAAATTAAGTAAAAGACTAAAAAGGCCATGAATGTTAATTTCGTTTTTTTTTTTTTACAACCAAGGATAAATTATTATTTTTACTGTGAAAAAAAAAAAGACCACAATGAACCACTGACCCCACTAGTTAAAGACTAAAGTACACCATCAGTCAATCCATTAACTTTTAGGGGCAAAATAGTAAAAATATTGTTCCAATCCACAGTGTTTTGTGTCTTAAACTACAGTGAATCACTGACCCCTTTAAAATTTTTATTAAAGTGAAGCATTTCTATCATGTGGATTATGTGGCTGGAGTACAATTTGAAAAAAATTTACCACTCTTCACCAAGGCAACTCCTTCACTATATAATAATCTCTCAACTTCTTATGAAGTTCTACATCCAGGGGCTCTCAAGGAATTGCATTAGATGAATTGTGAAATGCTACCGGTCTTCTTTTTTTTTTATTTCTTTATCTAGAAGCAACTGCAGCTGTTATTTTAACCATGTTTATCTGACATTCCCTTGAATCCTTTTTTCTAGATGAAGAAAATTATTACCAAATGAGAGAGAGAAAGTGAATGAGTGAAACAACAAGCTTCTCAAAATCTAACCAGGTTAATGCTTTTTAAATGACATTTTTCCTCAAGTCTAATTGCTGTTATTTACATTGCCTAATAACCTAATAACACAGGGTGGTTACAGGGAAACATATTACACTAGATCAATTGATATTTTAGAGAAAAAATTTGCTCATTGACTCAAGTGCATCACAGTCCAAAATCTTCTATTCTGGATTTCCGATATGAAATAGGGCACTGTTTATACAACAGTGAGGCATAAAAGAACCAGTTCCACAATAAAAGATATGTACATTTTCACAATTATGGTATATAAAAACCAGCTTCAACAAGTTTTACAACATAATCCTAATCCATGATTTACCAAGGGGTACATGTAGCCAGGCACCAATTTTTGGTCATGTATTTCAGAGGAAACATGGTATCGATTGCACATTCAAATCTCACTAGTCCACGCTCTTATATCTCATTAGGGTAGCAAAAAGAATCAGGATATGGTCACACTCACATCATACAACTGCCTTTACTAGTGGCCATCTTGATCAACCAAAACTCACTCAAATAGGAAAACACTAAGTGGTGAGATATGATAAAATGGAAAATAGAATGACTATGATAGCACAAACTCTGATCAACAACTCTATCACAAGGTTTCTTAAAAGAGGAAGAAGAAAAAAGAGTGTTTTAACCCCTTATTTCTAGATAGGATAGCTTACAATAGAATGCAAAACACTGAGTAGTCAGATTTGATAAAATGGGACCACAACAGCTCAAACACTTATCGGTAATCGTATCACTAGGTTTCTCAAAAAGAGGAAGAAGAAAAGGAGTGCTATGCCAAAAGGCTTTAACCCCTTACCGGAAGAACATCAAGTTCATCCAGCAGGAACAACTCAATCAATTTCCAAATGATCAATGAATCACTTGCAATAAATCACATAAGTTTTCCACTGAACTCAAAATATCAGATATATATGGCTTTTGAGAAAACTTATTGTAAATATTTGAGAGATATACAAGCACTAGGAGAGGAGTGCTAAAAACATGAATTTTTAAGTAGATAAAATGACAGATTTCTGTTTATGTTCTACACTTAATCCTCCAAAAGTCCATTGTTTTTCTTGATGCTCATGTAGTGCATAAACACCATCATATTAAGAAAAGCATGCATCCATGTTAAGGTTGCATAGAGGAGAGGGGGAGAGAGTATCAAACCTGAACAATTCTATGCCACTGCTGTTCCTTCTCAAGAGCAATCAATACCTGCTTAATTGATGCAATAGGAAATTTTTGCTCCCATGCAACCCAGGCATCAAGAGCACCATAAACAGAATCCTTGCTGTCATTTAGATCTAAAAGCTGCATATATAAGATTGTGTTGTCATACTCTAACTACATAGTCCAAGCTACGTGAAACAAGATGAATGTTTTTGGACATTGATAGCATATAGAAGCACTCAAAAATCACACCAAAATTAAGCAGTCAATACCTCATAACTGTGAAAACTACCATGCAAATGAATAGCGATTGGTAATTTGGACTTTGTGTGCTTACTGTGGTAATGAGAAATTTGATCTTATCCTTCTTGGAGACATTGTCACCAATTTGGTTTCTCCTCAGATTCTGCCTTGAATTTCCATCACCGTGAACTGACTGAAACATTATTACATGTATTTCAGGAGATTAACATCAATCAAAATGAAGCAAGAGCAGCAATTATTTTGCATACCTGTAACAAAGGCGAAGCTGCTACAGAGGCAAAGTGTGTGTTAGATATTATCATTTGAGCTTCAATTGTCGCTTTGAAGCTAAAATTCAGCAAGGTCTGCACCCTACCCACTCCTATTCTCCTTAAATGCCCAATCTGAATCATCAATAGAAGATCGAAATGAAATTTAATTGAAGTGAGAGTAGTAGTAACAGCAGAGCAGTGGTTTCATGGATAACAAGTGAAACAGCAGAAAAGTAAGTGGCCATTACAGTAAAAGGGAGAGAAGACTGAACCTTACTGAAGAACGAAGGAAACATTGTGTAAGATTGAGAATGAAAATTGCTAATAAAAAAAAAATTGAGTTAAGACGAGCCCTAAACTATTTTCTCCAAAATATATCAAACAAACCAGCATTGTTACAGTGAAAGCACAAAAAAACAAAACCTTGCCTTGTTTATACAGAGTTCGAGCATGAATTTCAAGTCATAAGAAGATTCATATAATAATTACAAGCACATGTGGAGCCTCTGCCTTAAAAAAAAAAAAAACAAAAGAAAGGCCATACCATTGCGGGTTTTGGCTGATTTAAACCCTGAAACGAATCTTAATCACCTACTCTGCAATCTTAACAACTCTCCACTACTAAGTCCCTCCAAATGTTTCTTCTGCGAGTCCTGGTTGTCGTGGACTCGTCGTCCTGAAGCTTGAAAGTTGGTGGTAGAGGCGCGGCTCCTCTTGTTGACGGAGGCTCGAGCCAAGACGGTTTTTCATGTGGGTCGCGATTGAGGATGGAGGAGACCTGGTGTCTTCGAGGATTTTGATTTTGTTTATTATTATTATTATTATTGTAAAATTTCGTTTTTACATTTTATTTCTATTTAATTTATATAACACTTTGGTGCAAATAAAAAAAAATAACAAAAAGAAATCTAATATACTTACAAGATTATAACTATATCAGCTGTCGTCGCATGAAATTATTCCATTTAATAAAATTTCTAGAGTGCAGAGAAACGTTACCTAAAATATCCTACATTAAAACCTAAGATTATTCATCTCATGCTACTGTTACTCAAATAAAAATGATCAAATATACTTTTATATACAAAATATTCTTTTTTGTTTTTTTTTTTATTTCAAAAAAAATTATATATTTTTAATTATTTTACTTTAAATAAATATGTTTTAGTTTTTAAAATTATTTTGATATACTAATATTAAAAATATTTTTTTAAAAATAAAAAAATATTATTTTAATATATTTCAAAATAAAAAACATTTTAAAAAATAACTACAACTATAACCATAATATTTTTATAATACAAATATAATATATTTATTTAAATATAATAGGTATTTTATTTACATAACATATAATATTCATTACAAAAGTCTACCTAATGAAAAATTAGAAAAATATAAAAAATTTTGGATCAAGATCTTCAAGATGAATGCAAATTACCTGCAAAAACATGTAGAATTGTAGTGTGTATATTAATTTTATAAATATCTATTATTACAAGTATTATATATATATAAATATATATATATATATGTATGTATGTATGTATGATCCAATTTTAACTATAGATATAACTACTAATGTCATATAATGTCATATAGTATTTCAACATCTTTCATTTTCCACAATGAAAATTAATTATCCTTTTAGTTTACTCACACGAATTGTATCATTTTCTTGATATGTAATTTCTTATTCCTTATGAGAACCTAACTTTTATTTTCTAAAATATTTCTTAATTTACAGCTATATAACTGTTGCATCTTTACACGCTATTCCTTGTTGTTAATATTAAAATATTTTATATATCAATACCTATATCTATGTCATGATCATCAACTTATTTAATATAATATTTGTTGTTATTACAACCAATTTACTATTTCATTATAGTTCTTATCATTATAATAAATTTATTTTTATATAATAGTTCATAAAATTACAAATAATTTTTTTGATATAATAGTATCTATATTTGCAACTAACTCATTATCATATTACAAATTTTATCATTGTAACAGACTTATTTTATATAATAATTTTTGACATTATGATCGACTCATTATTTTTTATATAAATCATCATCTTATTTATTTTTTATCTACCATCACATCTATTTATTCATATTAACATCTATTATTGTTTTTCTAAAAAATTATGGATGCTCCACTTTTTGTTCACCAATTTTATCTATTTTTTTTCAAACATCTCATTATATCATTTTTTTTTTTTTTACTTACCCAAATCCATTCATTTTCTTAAACACCTCATTTAGTCATTTTATCTTAACAATGCATTTATTTTTTTCAAGCATTCTTTACATCACCTTTTAGATACCAATCCATATATTCATTTCTTTACATATTTATTATGTTATTGTTGGCTACTAACTCAATCATCTCAATCAACATTTATTTTAGCTTAAAATTTATCTATTTCATTTAAGGATTAAATATTTATATGTAATTTAATTCATCTCTTTTTCATAAGATTTTCATATTCATAACCTTCCTAAACTCATCAACAATAAATTACACTTCATAAATCGAGTTTAAAAACAACAATTTAAATATGTAAAATTATCAACATGATATAAAAAATCAACTCAACCACTTCATCAATACATATTCATGTCTAATATTTTCACCCATGGTTTAAAAATTCATGGTCGGCCTTAAATTCATAATTTTTATTTAATAATTATACCATTTCAAAACATTAAATCCATAGAATTTCATCAATGTAACAATTCCATAATTAATTTCACTACACTAACTCATTATTCACTTTCCTACTTTAATTTTTCTCACCTAATTAGTATTATTTCTAACACAGCATTTATAAAGATATAATCAATTTACATTTTTATAATCAAATCTCATTAACACCAAAAATCACAAATCAAGGTTTTTCATTCCCTCTTTAATTTACCAAGAAAAATATGAAATCAATTGAAAACACGTCTTTTAACACTTGTAATCAACTCAATTAAATGAGTTTTGTTGATAAATCTCACCCGTCTTCTTTCAAAGTTAATCATCTCTTCCTAACTTCCTAAAGTTCTCATTTTTTCTATGACAACATGAAATCTCTTACTTCTCTTTAATTTAAAAAGCCTTTTGATTTTATTTTTGGTCCAAAACCATACCCCCTACCCCTTAACTCTTTCCTTGTAGTACTTCTTTGCAAAAATTAAAAAAATAAAAAAAAAAGCAAAGAAAATAAAAACTCCCCTCTTCCCTTCTCTATCTAGGTAAATTGCAAATTGTTTTAACGCTTTGATTACTAGGGACTAGTAATAAGCTGGTTGGGGGGTGTGATTAGTACTTAAAAGTGCATTTTTATCATGGTTTTATATCATCATTTTGCACTTGAAGTATTAATAACTCCTTAACATGGTTTTATATCATCATTTTGCACTTGAAGTATCAATAACTCCTTAACTAAAGCATGTTTTATAATAATATATCTAATAATATAAGATATCTTTAATTTATGGTAAATGTTCATTTTAAATGCAGGCCTATCACATAAATGAAAAATATTGATTGATGACTTTAAGAACTTAAATTGCAAAGGCAAAGAGATGGTCAAACTTAGAAAAGAAATGTCGGTGCAATCCAAACCGGAACACTGTTCGGTAATTGAATCATATCTAGAGCTATATAACCGGAACACTGTTCGGTAATTGGGTCATATCTGGAGCTACAGATCTCAGATTTAGGTCCAATTTATATGGATGGAAAGGTAAGACATAGGCCTACAACTTTCATATGGAGCCCAAGATCTAAAAAGGCCAATATCAAGTCCAAATTATAGCAACAACAAAGAAGCCTGAATTTGTCTTCTAGCCCGAGCACTGTTCGGTATTTTGGCCATATCTGGAGTTCTAGAAGTCCAAATGAGCTAGTATTTTGGCCATATCTGGAGTTCTAGAAGTCCAAATGAGCTGAATTGTTTACACAAGAAAGCTGAGACAATTGCCTACAACTTTCATGTTTGCAACTGGCTCCAATTTTGATGTTATCAATGACGTTTTGGGCAGACAAGAGAAGATAAGGATTGTCACTAAGTCAAAAGTTGGCCACCCACTTATCAATTAGTCATCAAATCAATAGTTCTCAATTTTGGCCTATAAAAGGAGGCATTTGCCATGCATTTAGGCATCTTGGTTTCCAGATCAAGATCATGCTCTTCCTTTCTCTCTTTGTATTTTTTGTAATGCTTATGCTTTGCTTTCATTATTATTAAGTTTATGCCTTTCATTTCCCTTTCTTTACTTAGTTAACTTTTATGTTCTTATTTTGTTTATTTATTTTGCTTTCTTTCATTATGTCTAGCTAAGTTAATTATGTCAAGGTGAAAAGGTTACACTAATGGTGTAAAAATAAGTATAATGTAAACTTAATATGGATTTTAATGTTTGATACTAACATGTTTTATATTTGTTATCTTGTTCACTCTTTAATACTTTGCTTGTTAAATGATTAATCTTGATTTATGTTGTATAACACTTGGTACAAAAAATGCTTGGCACTTTCATAGCCCATAATGTATGGTATAACCGACATTTGAGTTAGCCCATAATGTATGGTATAACCGACACCTGAGCTATGAAAGGAACTTGATTTGTTGTTAGCATAAGTTATAATCATGAATGCTTGACGAGATTTACAAGTATTAGCATTAATTGAATAAGATGACTAATGTAATCATGTTAACAATATATAATCTGATTGGAACCTCCTTTGTGTGTGGTTTCCAATTCAATAATAAGAGTTTATACTATACTTGTTTGATATACCATTAGTGGAACCTTCAACCTTGACATTTGTTATTATTATTGTTTAATCCTTACATTAATTTTCCATCTCCAAGTTCTCATCATCTTCTTCTTCTTTTCTTTCTTTATTATTACTATTACTACTACTACTATTACTACTACTACTACTACTACTACTACTACTATTATTATTATTATTATTATTGCTTATAATTGTTGTCTATAATTTGTACAATTAACCTCCCTATGGTTCGACCCCGATCTTGCCGGGTTATTTATTACTTTGACACTCCTGCACTTGGGAGAAGACATCAACCTTTTAGTCGTGTCAAGTTTTTGGCGCCGTTGCCGGGGAGGTAAGTTCTTGTATAAATTATAGTAGTTATTTTATTTTCTCTTTTCACTTTTCTTATATATAACTTTGTTTCTTTTCTCTTGTTTCTTCTTCTTTTGTTTTCTTCTTCCTTTTATTCTATTCCTACACGTGCATGAGAGTGTGGTCACGTACATCAAGTGGTAGACTTTGTAGGGTATCCTCATCATTTTCAGAAAATATGGTCGAAGAAGATAATCAATCACTTCATAATGAGAATAATGAGAATAACCGTGCTAGAACACTTAGAGACCACATGAATCCTACAAGAACAAGTGCACCATCATACATAGTTTTTCCTCTCGATGCATCTCATTTTAATTTTAAACCAGGTATTATTCAACTTTTACCTTCTTTTCATGGCTTGGAATTGGAAAATCTATACTTGCATTTAAGGGAATTTGAAGAGGTTTGCAACACATATAATAACTTAAATTGTAGCATGAACACCATCAGATTAAAGCTTTTTCCTTTTTCATTAAAAGATAAAGCTAAAACATGGCTACAAAATTTGAGACCAGGATCCATTCATGCTTGGGATGAAATGCAATAACAGTTTTTAAAGAAGTTTTTTCCATCTCATAGAACAAACTCTTTCAAGAGACAAATCACCACTTTCACTCAAAAACCAGGAGAAACATTTTACCAATGTTGGGATAGGTATCGA